GGCTAAACTCGGGGACTGGAGCCCTCTCTGGGCTAAACTCGGGGACTGGAGCCCTCTCTGGGCTAAACTCTGGGACTGGAACCCTCTCTAGGCTAAACTCGGGGACTGGAGCCCTCTCTGGAGTGAGCTCTGGGGCTGGATTCGACACTGGAGTGAGCTCTGGGGCTGGAGCCGACACTGGAGCTGACTCAGGGGCTAGGATGAGGGCTGAGAACAGTCTTTTCCTCCTCATCCTCCTCCTTTGGTTAAGGGTAAACGGCGCGGCCGGCGGACTTGACATCAGTGCGCTCAGCAGCGGGCTGGTTCTGGCTCAGGGCCGGACACTCTCCAGACACCGGAGGATCCATTCCCTCCAGCTTAGTCCCGTGGTGTCTGGGAGGTCCACGGGGCGATGGTAATTCGCCCCGTGCCAGAACAAAGAGTTGTCCGTCATCTAATGCCATCAGAACCCAGAAGCCCGCAGAACTCCCAGGCATACTCGACGAAGGGGAGAGCTCTACGGGCTAGCGCAATGAAGCGTGCCGTGATCTCCATAATCGCGGGGGGAGCAAAGGAAAACAAAAAAACGAAAACAAAAACCGGAGAATAGGGGCGCCGCTTACTGTTTAGGTGCTGTCTTCTGTCACGGTGTGCCTATGGTGAGGAGCAAGGAACGAGGAGAACGCAGGAGAATCATAATCAACAGTCTTTAATGACATCTAGGGAAACACACGTTGGACACAGGATCGACGTTCAAGACAGCACAGAGAACTCAAAACAGAAAAACACTTTAAATACACAGGGCTTAAATCATGGGACTAATCAAGGGAACTAATGAGGGAACACCTGGAATCAATAAACATAATTGAACATGAGGGAAAACTGGATCATGGAAAGCACGTGGGGGAAGAAAACACAAAACACGGAACACAGGACTGACACTAAGAATATTTGTCAGCCACTTTAACATTGTAAAAACAAAGTTTGAACATTAACACGGCACTGTACTTACAAACAGGTAAATAAAAAACTTAAATAATGATTCAATTAAAAAGTGTTGTACCTAAAAGTTAAATAAAAATTGCACTGTACTTACATGTAAAAAAAACTACTCAAATAAAGATTAAATTAAAATGTATTGTGTTTTAACCTTAATTTATATTTAATTTAGTGATTCCTCTGTGTACCAGTAGAGGGAGCCTGAGTACCACACTTTGAGAACCACTGCCCTAAATGACAAATTATCTGGGTGGTATTTTGCAAACATTACATACTTCTAGTGGAGAAACAAATGAGGGGGTGAGAGGTTAACATTTACAATATAAAAAAAATGTACCCCTCAATAAGGGCCACCATAATTTTGATGTACAAACATCAGAGCATGTATAATCCTTAATTCAACTTCTTAATGTTCAATTAAAAAGAAATGTATACCTGTATGATATAACGCTGTACCCATATTGGACAAGCGGTTAATGGATGAATGGATGATTCAGCTGCAGACGTGGGATTTAATCCGGCACAATCCTCACAGTGCAGTATGGATATTTTCTAGCCGTTGAGTGTACATCAGTCGTACACTTGTTATTGCGGTGCATGGGATTGAATAAGTGCACTCGATAATGTCCACTATGGATTCAGACAGCACTACAAATGGCTGTTCCCTCAAATAATTTTCAATTTCAGACACAGCCAAGGTCTTATTATTGGGAGATACGAGGGTCCGTGGCTCTACCATTGGAGAAAGCGTAACAGTCAACTTGGGTCACACGTGCCTTGATAACTAATTACGTCACAGCCTTGACGCCTTTGGATTTCAGTCAGAATTGTGCGACAGTCAGTGGCTGTTTACGGATAACATAATGAGAAGTGCCGTAAACTGAATCCTACCTGCCACAAAATGTAAATTGTTTTATGGCAAACATGTTGAAGATCAGCAGAAAGGCAGTCAGTTCTTTAAATGACAAGAGGAAATTCATACAGGTTTGGAACAACTTGAGGATGAATAAATAGAGACATTTTTGGGTGAAGTATCTCTTTCATTTCTCCTCCTCCATTTCATTTAGGTTACAGCTCAATCCAGACCAACAGAGGGCGACTTTATGGTCTTTTGTTTGCCATTCTCAGGGTAATCAAAAACAGAAAAAAAGTTATTTTTTTTTAAATTCTTAGTCAAATTTGGTTTAAGAACCTCTAAATCTAGAAAGACGTCAGACCAGTTTAATTAAGTATACAAATTCCACAATTACATAGTTTTAATTAAAAAGCATTATGTCATATTCACATTGTTGTATTCGTGTCTGTAAGATGTGGTTCTTAGTTCAACGAGTGCTGCTAACTTGATCGATTCACACACAAACAGAACATCATTTAAAGCGGTCATGAACTGAGAAACCAGAATTCCCTTGGTCTTTTGACATATACGACTATAAAAACATCCGGTAAGTTTCAGAACTCAAAACTTTGTCGTTAGTCTAAAAACAGCAAAAACAGGACAGAAAATAGCCTATAACTTCTCAACTGTTTCTTGATGTAAAAATCTTGATAACATTATAAGTGGACCTCATAGAACAGCACAAAATAAAACAAAAAACGAAGGCAGTTCATGCTCCCTTTAAGAACTTTTTGTTTTCTCATTATTTCAAAATATGCATTGTATTTCCAGACTTCAAGGCTGCTATAAATTTTATGAGCCAGCAGATGGCGCTATTGTCGATACTTTTAAGGATTAAGGACTTCTTACTCAACCAGGAAAAGCCTCGGAGCTTCATGAAGCTTCATTTCGCTATTCCTAGTAGACCCGACGCAGTGACAACCTTTATTCGTTTCGACGACTCGTTTTTCGCGTCGCGTTTGTGGAGGGCCTTTGAGTTATAATTATATGGTTATAAAAGAACGTCTGACTGTGTTGTTTTTATTTTTTCACTTTACCTGAATAAGCCACATCATTTGAGCTACCCTGCGCAGTTTAATAACCGCAATAATAATAATAATAATAATAATGAATCGAGATGTGCACTGAACTCAACGGAGACCTCCACGTCACACGCAGGGAGCCGGTTCACGCGAGCTTCCGGTCAAACACAGTGAATCACGGGATACGAGTTTTTGACCCAATCGTGACATCACAAAAAGCGTTGGATTAAACTACATCTCCCACAAAAGCCTCTCCCGATTCCAAGGAAAGCCCCGTTCTGGCAGCTCCTTCGCTGAATTACAGCCTCTTCTCCGCTCCATGTTGTTGAGGGGAGAGGAGCGGAGCGGAGGCGACGGATCCGTCATGGAGCAGCTTTAGGAGAGATAAAGCACAAGCGCCTCTAGCCCTGCGCAGAAATCACACACCGGCAGGAGTCTATCAGTGACGGCGGGCGAGAGCGCGATCATGCGGTGCGCGGACAGCAGAATCTGAACGCGTCCGCCGTTAAAGATGTCCGCGGAGCAGCAGCGCGACCCGACGCGGGCGGAGGTGCAGCGGCTGTCCCGGGAGCTGGCGGAGACCACGCGGGAGAAGATCCAGGCGGCGGAGTACGGGCTCGCGGTGCTGGACGAGAAGCAGCAGCTGAAGCAGCGGTACGACGAGCTGGAGGCGGAACACGAGACCGTCCGCCAGGAGCTGGAGCAGCTGCGAGAGGTATAACGCGACACCGACGCGACGCGGCGCTATCATCAGTGCTGCGGCTGACATTAAGTAGCTGGCGTCAAAATGCTGTCGTTATGTCGAGGACATGGCGAAGTCGTGCTGAAATCACGCCATTGTGCGGCTGATAGGATGGAATGCCATCATGTTGTGTTTGAACACGGTGAAATACTGATCGTGTTGCTGGAGGAGCCAGAGAGCTGGAAAATACTGCCCCATCCGATGATTCCTTCCTCCGTCGCATTTTTCACAAATGTGTCACTTTCCTTTGATGTCCCACGATTCTGTGCGTGCGGCGGTTGTTGGGAAGAAAAAAAAAGTTTTCTGATGGAGCAGATGGATAAGTCATTAATTCATAAAATGTATTCATTTTCTAGTAGTAAGCTTTGTAGTGCTATATATATATATATATATATGTATATTAGTGCTGTCAACGATTAATCGCATCCAAAATAAAAGTTTTTGTTTACATAAATTTATTATATATATATATATACAAACGCATGTATATATTTAAAAAAAAATATGTTGTTTATATATTAAATATATTTATATATAATATAAAATATAAAAATATGAATTTATAAATGTATAAACACGTAAATATTTTCAAAATATATACTGTATGTGTATGTATTTATATATATATATATACATAATAAATTTACACAATACACATACATGTAAAATGTAAACAAAAAACGTTTATTTTGGATGCGATTAATCGTTTGACAGCACTAATATATATATATATAACAGTAGAGCACAAAAGCAGTCATAAGTAGCACAGGTATATTTGTAGCAATAGCCAACAGTTGTATCCATTTTTCTTTTATGCCAAAAATCATTAGGATATTACGATCATGTTCCATGAAGATATTTTGTAAATTTCCTACCGTAAACATATCAAAACTTCATTTTTGATTAGTAATATGCATCGCTAAGAACTTCATTTGGCGATTTTCTCAATATTTTGATTTTTTAAAAATTTTTTTTTTTGCACCCTTAAATTCCAGATGTTCAAATAGTTGCATCTCGGGCCAAATATTGTCCTATCCTAACAAACCATGCATCAATGGAAAGCTTATTTATTCAGCTTTCAGATGAAAAATTGACCCTTATGACTGCTTTTGTGGTCCAGGGTCGCATATATTTTTTTTATTTATGACTAATTTCTTAGATGTGACTTCAGGGTCCTTTGGAAGTCTGTGACCCGTTGTCTGCAAAATGCTGCCCTGATAGCACACGTACATCACGGAGACGTCTATTTGACGTCTGCATATTGAAGACGCTTTTTTAGAGTTTGTTCATCTGCAATACGGCTATAGGACGTTTCCTATCAGGTGTCAATTAGAAGTCTATTAGATGTCTTTAAGATGTTTATGGTTTAGAATGTATGTAAAACTGATCTTACAGACGTCTGGCAGATATTTGTACACAGCAGATGCTTTCCAGATGAAGCGATGTTTAACAGATGTAAGTGTGCTATCTGGGTGCCTGTGTTTTTTTGCCTGACAGGAAGCAGTCATTGTGTAGCTGCTGTAGTAAAATGACATGGTCTTTTTGTTCATACAGAGAAATGAGCTCATTATTATGTTGTTAGTTGTTATTCTCTGTCATTCCATTATTATTTCACATAGGTCATCGCTGGTTTAATTTGTAGACTGTAAATCTTGCAGCTCATGAGTGATTGTGAAATGTGACAGGCCTGCTTTTGAATTTTTGCGGGAGTCTCTGTCCCCGCCTAAACGGCCAAGCAAGTTACAACCTAAAGAGGAATGAGGGGAATGCAGATGGTTTCCTCCGGCCGAGCTGCAGATAAACACGCCTCTGTCTCTCATCAAACGGAGTTTGCTTGAGAATGACACTTCTTGTCCGCACAGAATGAGAGATGGGACGCTGTTGGTATTTGTGTAAATGAGGAAGTGCTAGGGGTCAGTCAGCAACAAAAAATTTCGTTGTGGCTACAGGCCTGTTATCATTTTTCTGTGACAAGCCCTGGCAATAATCAAAACCAGTTGATTCTAGTCTGAACTTTCCTGTATTTTTTTGTGTGTTTGTTGTTGTTGTTGGAGCTTGAGTAACTTCCTGTCACATTTAGGTCCTTTTTGACATTTTTGAAGATTATGTCTCCTTCTGTTCACTGATAACAGTCAGCTTGACCTACATTGCTTTGCTTTGAGGATAGTTCAAGTAGTTTAACAGAACAAGCAGGGTTATTGGTTGGGTGCAGAAGCTCTGTTAAGCTTTCACATATATGCCCTTTTCAGGAAAATGATCTCTTATTTACAGTTTAGTGATCATTTGTGAACAGGACCTGTTTGAAAATACTAGTAAATCAGGCTGAGAAAACATCACCTGAAAATGACTGTTAATAGTAATAAAAAACCCAAACACACAAGATTACCATTATAAGGGCGTGCGAGGCGTGGATACGCTAGATGTAGGATGTCTGCTCTGGACCATTCAAACATGTTCCATAGGTGATAATAGGATTACCCTGCTCTGTTTGCAATGGCTGTGAACCGGAAGAAAAATGTTGTCAAATTGGACAGATAGTGAAAATAAAGTGCTTCTCCTCGTCTGGGCAGAAGAAGAAAACGGGTAATTTCTGATATTTGAATTCACAGAGTCTGCCATGTAAAGCTGGTGTTAGAAGTGCAGAGGACATCAATTCTTGCATGAGCTTCACAAGGTGCTTCACAACACGCTTACGTCACGCCTCACAGTGTGCATGTGTTAATGTCAAACGTAAACGCAACCCACTTGTGAACATGTATATGACAGTTACCCAGAAGTGATGGTTTATTTAAAAAAAAAAAAGTTTATTAGTATTAGGTAGGCCTAGTTTTTGTTTATTTTTTTTTTTACTTCAGAAGACATTGATTCATCCACTGGGGTCGTATGGATTATTATTGTAATGGCTGTATTAAAGGAACACTCCACTATTTTTGAAAACTCCCCTAGAGTTAAACAGTTGAGTTTTACCGTTTTCGAATCCATTCAGCCGATCTCTGGGTCTGGCGGTAGCACTTTTAGCTGCAGCTTAGCATAGATCAGGGGTGGCGAACGTCGGTCCTGGAGAGCCGCAGGAAAACGGTAAAACTCAACTGTTTAACTCTAGGGGAGTTGGAAAATGAGCCTATTTTCAAAAATAGTGGAGTGTTCCTTTAAGGGTTTGTGCGATATATCGTTTGCGATAATATCGTAATTGTTCTTTTAACGATATGCGATTTGACATTATTGAGTAGGCTATATCGCATAAACTAAACAAAAACACACCCAGAGAGTGCACACATACACTGAGATATAGGTCAGACTACTGTGTGAGCTCATTTAGCGTCCACGCTTTCACTGCGGGATTTAGTCTATTAAAATACATTCACAATTCCCCCAAAATTGAAGATAAGGGGCAAAAATGCTCCCATATGACTTTTGTCTTATGCTTGCATCATCTGATAGGCTATAGCCTAGTTAATCAATAGCACAGGATGATTGCTGTTTTTCTCCAAATATAAACACTATTGTAAATGTGATATTGATTTTATACAACAGTTCAATAAGCAAATTATTAAGTGACTTGAATTTTAGACAATACAGTTCCTGTTTCTGTTGCTTTTCGCCAACAAAAATAGTTTCAAACAAAGCCACAGCAGAACTGTTTTGCATCTCAGAGCCACACACGACAGTGTTTCGTTACTGAATGAATCAACTGTTTGAGCGAAACAGTTAAATTAATGACTCAATGACTTACTCATGCAGTGATTTGCCGCCACCTACTGCCGGTTTTAAGTTTATTTAAAGTATAACCCCCCCCCAAATAATTAAATATGTACGCAAGCCAGTGGTTTGAGTCTTACCTCTCAGATAGGTCCTTCAAGGTATCTTGGGAGAGGTGAGGTTTCTCACTATTGAACATTAATATTAATTGAACATTAATTATGCATTTGTAACTGCAGGTTAGCTGCACTTGTCCTGCATTAAACAGTCTGTGTAAATGCATCTAAATGACACTTCAGATGCAGATTCTGTCACCTCTGCATTGCAAACACAAATTTTGTTGATACTGATTTCATTTGATTGGTAACAGTTCTATAATGTCTTACTATTTGAACTGAATTTATTGATAAGAAGAATTTGAGACAAACGTTGATGCATACATTTAAAAAAGTTAGAAAAACAGTTGTCCTTATAAAGGTAAAAATGCCCATAAAAGGTAAAAATCAATTTAAACTTATTGGAAAAGTTACTGCTACAAGCTAACCATGGCACAGAATATGAGGAATATCAAAAGCTTTGTCTAAAGCTGCCAAGATACCAGCACAATAACACGCTCAGCAAAATATCTTCTAATTATCGTTATCGACAAAATTCTAGAAAATATCGAGATATCATTTTTTGTCATTATCGCACACCCCTAGGCTGTATGTGATTTTTGGGACATCAACATTTGTGCACCTATTCAGTAAACAGCCAGCATAACTCAGCAGTGAGATGACTCGATCAGCCTGTTAAAGTTTAACAGCTGACAAACAGGGTCACAAGCACCCACTCCAACCTTGTTTTGCGAATGCACATGATGAAAATCAGTGGAAACAGATTAGTGGGGCTTTAGTTGCTGGCAGTGCTGCACTTGACAAGCCAGCTATCCCACCCTATAGCAGAACAACAGGACTGCGTTCTCTTCAGGCTCTTTCATACAGTGTGTCTTTGTTTCTTGAGGGTGCAATCGAAAACAAATCTGCTAAATTAGTCATTGTGTTGAATAACTCAGGATTGGTCCTATTGCTAGCAGGTGTCCCACATAGCAAACAGGTTATCCATCAATGTGGGAGGTTTATAGACCGTTTGTTTTGGAGCTGTTCAGCTGTTAAAGCACGAGTTGTTATTCTGGGTAACACTGTGCATCCATACCAGCCTTTTGCCGTTCATCACCTTAACAGCTCGCTGTTAGTCACTAAAGGCCTGAAATACTTCAAGCAAATTTGAAGTAT